TTGGCCAGCTTCCAGTCATCCGCAACCTCCCTGGTTTGCCAGGACTGCTGCTAAATGATGGAGAGTGGCTTGGTGAGCACTTCTGCCAGCTCCCTCGATACCCTGGAGTGGATCTCATCTGGTCCCATAGACTTATGGAAGTCTAAGTGGTGCAATAGGTCACTAACCATTTCCTCTTGGATTATGGGGGGCATCGTTCTGCTCCTCAACCCTGTCTACCAGCTCAGGGGTGTGGGTATTCAGAGAGCAGCCTGTCTTACCATTAAAGACCGAGGCAAAGAAGGCATTAAGTACCTCAGCCTTTTCCTCATCCTTTGTCACAATGTTTCCCTGTGTATCTAACAAAGGATGAAGATTCTCCTTAGCTCTCCTTTTGTTACTAATGTATTTATAGAAGCATTTTTTATTGTCTTTTACTGATGCAGCTAAATTGAGTTCTAACTGGGCTTTGGCCTCTAGTTTTCTCCCTGCATAGCCTCACAAGGTCCTTGTAGTCCTCATGAGTTGCTCCTCCCTTCTTCCACAGATCATAAACTCTCCTTTTTTTCCTGAGCTCCAGCCTAAGCTCTTTGTTCAGCCAGGCTGGTCTTCTCCAATGTCAGCTCATCTTCTGGCACATGGGGACAGCCTGCTCCTGCACCTTTAAAATTTCCTTCTTAAAGAATGTCCAGCCTTCCTGGACTCCTTTGCCCTTCAGGACTGCCTTCCAAGGGACTTTGCCAACCAGACTCCTGAACAGCCCAAAGTCTGCCCTCCGAAAGTCCAAGGTGGCAGTCCTGCTGACCCCTCTCCTGACTTCCCCAAGAACAGAAAACTATAATCTCCTGATCACTGTCCCCAAGATGGCCTCCAACCACCACTTCACCCACCAGTCCTTCCATGTTAGTGAATAACAGGTCCAGTGGGACACCTTCCCTGGTCGGTTCCCTCACCAGCTGTGTCAGGAAGTTGTCTTCCACACACTCCAGGAACCTCCAAGACTGTCTCCTCTCTGGTGTGTTGCATTTCCAGCAGATATCTGGCAAGTTGAAGTCTCCTTATTTCCTAACAAAATCTAACTTCACTCTGACTATTTCTTAACTAGAAAGAAATTTTAATGCAGGAGTAGTGCAGGTTAATACCACCTCTCTTGAAAAGACAGACATCACAGGGCCTCAACCTCACTCCCCTAGGAGCCTCACAAACAAGTTCTCACCACACTTTCTGAAAATACAAGCCTGCTGCAGCAAGGGAGAGACAAAAGTGAGAGCCCAGGGCTCACCTCTGGAAACACCCTGATCTCTCCCCTTTCTGGACAGACAACCTCAGTACATCACCATAATTGACTCTCAATGGGTAGATCAATGAAAAGAAAGAAAACAAGAGATCCAAACACATTGCTGTGACATCTGAACTGTATCTTCTGGAAGCAGCAATTTCCCCAGGGCAGACTCTCCTTTGCAAAAAGTGACACACAATTAATTACAGTACAGTGCTGACTCTAGTGAAACAGGGCTTGGAGGCCTTGGGGTACCTGTGACTCGCACTGACAGAAAAATTCAATTTTAGGGTGTCCAAAACTACTTCCAAATCCTGGTCAAACTCATAGAATAAAAAGGCTTTTTTAAATGTCAGTACAAATGTGTTTAAGGATTAGGGTTTAAAAAAAAAAAGTAACTTAATTAACAAAGGTTTTTTTACCCTATTGTGTGTTTTTGATTGAAACATCAGTAATACTCACAGCATTATCTTTATCTTAAAATATACTGCTGAAAATTTGGCTTGTAGTCCCAAATAGGCACAGAGGAAGGAATGGCTGAGTAATCACAGCAGTAATTACTGCAACAGCCATCTTCACCCTTAGTTCTCTATTCTGTTTGTAATTATCCAAGAACATTGATTGGTCTTCCAAAATTATTAACACATTTCTTTTTTACTGATTCCCAATCAAATATATAGACTGTTACTTGAGATCTAAGAACTTATTAGTCTCAAAATACCCTTAGGATATAAAGGATTATTGCTCTCATTTTACTGAGGGAAATTTGAACTATAAAGAGGATAAACGGCTTGTTCAAGGTGAACCTCATGGGGCAGAATTAAGAATATAGCGCAGGTCAGATCTCTGAACAGGTCTGGTCAATTGTACAGCAGGATTTGTGGGCAGAAAAATGTGGAAGGCACTCCTTTCTGCCTCTCATTAGGATGAGCTCATTCCCTGAACCAGGAAAAGGTACTTACCATATCTAATTGGCAGAAGGTATAATTACTAATATTCTCTGAATGACAAAAAGTAGAGTAGTAATTCTCATCAATATACTGAACAAAGATAAATAAATCTGTAAGCACTGTGTGATTTAAGCTGTTTGTCTATAGGTATTCAATAGCACAGACTCTACCTGGAGATGGATGCTCCGTAGAAGCCTGTCTGAGTGACAATGCACCACAGCCTCCGAACATGTCTTCCCTTTACCTCACCTCACATGCCATTCTCTTTCTTCCAGAAAGTCCAAATCTTCAGTAAGGTTTTAGAGTATCTCTAAAAGCTATTACAGTTCATGAAAAGTTTTGCAAAATCAATAAATGTGATGTTGAAACTGGTACACAGTACTCATCTCACCTAACTTTGTCAGTGTGCACTGACAAATGAAACAACGGGTAAACGCTCTCCACCCATCATTAAAGTAATTTTGGTAAAAGACTGAACCCACTGATGGGCTTCCCAGGCTGAGGGATGGAAACATACCACCTTTGACACAGGAGCTTTCTGTTTAATATGAGCAACACTTGTACCTAGGCAGTAAACTCCAGCACCAGACAATGCCTCTGACTGTGCTGCTTCTTACTCTGGTGCACCGGAAAAAGGCAGATGGGTATTTGCTTCATCCAAATTAACTCTTCTCCGCCACTGCACAGGAAAAGGTTTTCCTATATTATTCATTACAATTACCATTCCAAAAGGAGAGTAGACCAGCAGCTGTAAGAACACAAACTGGGATTTGATACCCACCTGCTGCACTGTTTTCAGGCACGCTTGCTTCATAAGCGCTATGGCTGAACAAAATCTCCTCCTCTTGCTCCTCTGTAAAGATAATGACCATAGCTGTGGCTGTTCGAGGTGGAATACCTTGATCTGAAGCCATCACTAGTAGCTGGGTACTGAAGTCCTTGGAAGCCAAGGGCTCCTGAAGAATGATGTCACCTGTCTTGGCGTCGATCTGAAATACGGTTTCTGCTACCATCAAACTAAAAACAACAGCTCCATTTGGTCCCAGATCCACATCCTCCACTCTCACAGTGGCTACTGTCTCATTCACAGGGGTTTCAGCAGGTACAAAGGCCCTGATAGGATTCTGCAAAAAAACAGGATCATTGTCATTGACATCATCAATGTGCACCACAACACTGGCAGTGGTGCTTCTTGGCAAATGGGTGCTACAGTCACTTGCCACAGCCCTAAAGGTGTAATGGGATTTGGTCTCCCGGTCCAGTGCCTTTGTAGTAACTATAGACCCTGTTACACTGTTGATAGCAAACGCTCCAAAGGTGTCATCAATGAGTGAGTATGTAACTTTGCCATTCAGACCATCATCTTCATCAGAAGCAAAGAGGTCCAGGATCGCTGAGCCTTCCTCTAGGTCTTCTCTCACGGAGATTTGATACTGTGTCTTTGCAAACAACGGGCTGTGGTCATTTTCATCCAACACTGTTAGATAGACCTGTGCAGTGGAGCTTCTCGAGGGGCTGCCTAGGTCACGGCACTCAATTATAAGAGTGAAATTGCTGACGTCTTCTCTGTCTAAGCTACGAGTGACCAGCATTTCTCCTGAAGTGTTATTTAGTGTGAAGAATTCTCCAATATTTCCACCTTTCAAACACATAAAAAAATAAAATAATCACAAACAATTGCTTTTGAAAAAAGAATCCCTTGTGAATACCGCTACGTTAACTGCAATAACATGATCCAATTGCTCGTACAGCTGCTGCACTCATGTGCCTTTTGCATATTTTATTCCTTATATGAATTAAAACCTGCATTTCATTTAAATCAGTGGGTGGCAATGACAGTAAATACAGAACATCATATCGATTTACAGAAGGGCTATTTTGCCAGATGCGAGTCTTTTTTCCCAAAGCAGCACACCTTATAAAATCTCATGCAACTATGCTGATACATAAAGTGACCTCTTCCCAACCTTAGTTACAAATTCCAGAAACCTATAAAGCATTGCTGTCAATTGTAATTACGTATTCCTTGTCTCTTCTATAATCCCGTCTCTTGGAAGTGAATAGTTGTGCAAGGTCCTGATTTGGGGGCCATGGGGAGGCGGGGGTAAATATGAAGCAGTTGACAGAAGAAAAGTCGGTGTTTTTAGTAACAGTGAATGGCATAAGTACTTTATAACATGTAGAATGACCAAAGGTAATTAAATTAAAGATCATAAAAAATCCTGAAATTAAAACCAAGAAAACATAAAGGAATTTGTAACTGCTTCTTCAAAGAAAAATGTGTTGGCTGTTACCAAGTAGCTATGTGCCTATGTTTGAGCTATTGCTGAGAGCCATACACCAAAGTAAGCATAGCAAACTTGTATTTGTGCAAAGGTATTACAGGAGGCTTTGAACAGCTGTGGAGCTTACATTGGCATAGTGGAAACAGGAGAGTTTGGCAATATGAAAACCAAGGACGACATTACTAATTGCTGGTTGAAAGAAACTCTCACGAAATAAAATTAAATAAATAAAATTCATTCGTATACTTATCTGCAAGGGTATATTTACATTTAGAACTTCCAAGACTATAACAAAAGGGACAAAATTATGCCTTTGTGATTAATGCCTCCTTCCAGCATTTGGTAGGTTTTTGTTTTTCTTTTCGGTACTATTTCAAATCCAGAAAGCAGATTGAAAGTATGCCTGGAAAGTGCTTATTAATGCTGACAAAGGGATGAAAGATTTTTTTTTTTTCCACATAAAACAAGCATGCAGACAAGATGGGAGCTAGGGAGGTCTGGTAAAATTAAGACTAGTCTAAGACTTGGATACTGCTGTTTATATACTTCCTGATTTATGCTAAGAAAAGAGAAGTGTAACTTACCAATTATTTTGTATCTTAGAGCCCCATTATTTCCAGCATCCATATCTACAGCCCAGGTAATGTAAATGACAGAAGGCTGTTGGTTCTCTGGAATACGGATCTCAGAGGCAGGAATAAGAAACCTGGGAGAGTGATCATTTTTGTCCAGCACTTTGCAGATTACGGTCACTGTGCTTGACAGTGACGGTGTTCCACCATCTTGAACCAAAACTAAGATTAATAAAAAGAAAGTAAATTTTATGCAACAGTTTTAGATGCAACAATGGATACTCCTTAATAATATCAGAATAGTAATTTGTGTGACACACAAAGCACATGTTCTTCTGTTCCTGAAAATCTTACCACTTCCATCTAATTCAGATGGCATAAAAAAGGTAACGCTGATAGTATCACCACACCCATTCTCACTTCACATTTTACAGGCACTTGGAGCTATTTCACAGTTACCTTTAATACTGAAAACCTCCTGGGTTTCCTTGTCCAGTGATGCAGTTGTTACAATTTCTCCACTGTCTGAGTTCATCCTGAATTTCTCATAACCACTTCCCGGTAAGATTTCATACCGAAGCAAGGAATTCAGTCCTTAAAAGTAGAATGGAAGTCTTAGTAAAACACAGCCACTCTCCTCAAATTCAGGTCAACAGATTGGTCTCTTTCTTCTCCTCTCCACCCCAGGAAATGGGTTATAGATGAAATTATTATTTTTAATGCAGTGAGTAACTGCACTAAAGGGCATGTCCACAAACAAGCTGACTTTTCAACATGTTGCAAGAAAGCATTAACTTAGACTGTGGAATCCATGCATTTGTCTTCCTTTCCTGAGGCAGCTAATTCATTTCTCAACAGGATGTCAGGCAGAGTACTAGGCTGCTCTGGCAGCTCTGGTTCTCCACTTAACATGGAGCCAATGCAAGTACCTCTGTACAGTACGACTCTGAATAGTGTAAGCATCCAGAGAAAACATCCACTTATTGCCATACCCACCACTTCTAAATATTCATAATACTGAGCAGGCAGGTGCCTAAGTCCCATCAGGACTCACAGGGTAGCCATCTCCTGGTTGTCTTCAACAGAAAAGTCAACTTGGTAGACATTGCCACAGCACATCTGAGGCCTTTCAGACAGTTCTCACTTGTAGCCACTCTCTGAACTGATACTGTACTGATTGGTTTTACAAAGTCATGAAGGATTTTCAGAAAGGAAGGTTAAAGATTTTCCCTCCCTCAAAGTTTTTCTGAATGCCAGTTCCATTCAGTTCTTAATTAGACCTACCATTTGCATATAGTACAGGGATATTAGTCTTCCTGCCTTTCTCTAGGAAATAAAAGGCTAAAACTGTTCAGGCCTTTAAAAACCTTTCTTTCAAAGTTGCCCAGCTGAGTAGAACAAGAAATGTGACTCCCCCTTCTTACCTATTATGGTCAAAAAATAATTTATTTCATATTTCTTTTAGTTGCAACATCCTCCCGAGGAAAGTATAATGTAATCTCCACCATACTCATATTATTAACTTTAATGAGTTTAATCCTATATTGTACGTGAAGGGCTCATACTATTGTGCTCTTTTTTGGGATTTTGGGGGTGGTGGTGTTGTCAGCTTTTTTTTGGTTTTTTTTGCAAATTTTTCTAAGTTTCATTCGATCATTCTATGTTTTTGAAACCAACAACCAGTCTTTTAGTAGTACAGGGACAGTTAGTGCACCTGGAAAGCTACAGTACTCCTAGTCACAGTAAAACTGCTATTCAGTTCGGAGCTAAACACTGCCTCCCTGTTCTCATCTGCTGCAGTAGCAAACCCAGCAATCTGCCCTGGAGTTGATGGAGAAATACTAGCATGAAGAAAAAGAACATACAGTTTTTAGCATCTATTACTTCCTTTGTTTGCCCTTTAATAGCTTTGCAAAATAGTTGACAATGCTACTGAAATTTGATTAAGAGAATTATTACTGTAAATGTATTTGCACCTAAATTAAGTCAAGGAAGGGGCATATTCATACCATATACAGCAGAAGGAAAATGAGTTACAGAAATCATTCCCATCTTTCCAGAAGAAAGGAGAAAAACACAGCAGTAAGGACAATCAAAGAGAATGTCTTGAAAATTTAAGGAGCTAAGTCCCTTCCTTGCCACTGGCTGGTGGCAGGGACCTGTTCCCCACACAAGCCAAATGGCAGGGTGGATGCATGGTGCCTGAGCTGCAGCCAGAGAAAAGCTTCAGCCCCGTTTCCTGCTCCCCTGCCACAGCATGAGCAGTCTGTGCTCTCCCAGGGTGCTACACCACAGCTTCTCTGAAGCAGCAGCTGAGGCATTACACTATGAATATGCCTACTGCCAACAGTCGCAAACAAATGTTCCCCCTGCTCCAAACCCAGGTTCAAGTCTCATCTTTATAGTACTAGTGGTGTTAAAACCATGATAATCCACGGTTATGAGCAAGACAAAATGTCTAGTGAATGGCAGTAAGCCCTGTCTCATAAGCCTAAGTCAGTGGTTCCTATATCAAGCTTCTGAGATTTTTCTCCAAAGGCTCCAGACACACCTCCTGAACCACAGGGGTGCACAACAGCTTAAAACCAGACCTTGACAAATGCTAATTGAGTTCATTCAAAGCTTCTGCAAATACTTATCTCAAGACAAACCTGTGACCTATCTTAAATATGCTACGGGTATATTTGCTTTCCTGTGCATGTTTTTACAGCATTTACCTGTACTACATGTGTCTTTACATTTATATTTACTTGAGTTGTGCTGTTAGATGTCAGCCTTGGGGTGGCTGGAGAGGTCCCACTCTGTAAGAGGACTTAAGAGAAAGTGAGGCACATGTTGCATACTGCAACATAGACTTGCAGTAAGTGTAGCTCTTGTAATGTGCAGGAGGGAGTCGGTGAACAAGAAGTTTCATGGATATCCATATGAAAGAAAATCATTAAAAGCAAAAACCTTAGCAGTGATTTCCAAAAAAAAAGACCTTTTGAACTGGAAGCAAGCTTAAAGCTTGAGTGAAACACAAAGAAGGTGACAGCTGCCTGCATTCCCTCTTCTCTTTGCAGTGAATGAAGTAAAAGACAAACAAAATAAGAAGCTGATGATGGCTGCAATTGTCAGTAAATACGATTCCTCCCTGTGGTCAGTCAGGGAATATATGAGGTGAAAAAAAAAAAAAAGATTCTGTGATGGGAGGAAAGTCCTCCACTGAGATGATGAAAATATTACGGGGATATGAACAGCAATTTTAAAAGCAAATAAAAATAATGTTAAAAATGTGATGTAAAAAATAAAGAACAACATGAAGGGAGTTGTATTATTCAAAAATTCTGTTCCAAAACATAAGAAAAACTAGTAGCATTATATTTATATGACTCCTATATAAATCCTATTTTCTAACATTATGAGCATCTTTCAGTATTTGTTTGGAACAATACTGTAACATGCATATGACATGGGGCCAAATCATGCAAATGTGAGAAAAAGACCCAACAGAAGGACTGTGGTTACTGGAAAATATACTTTAAAAAAAAAAAAAAAAAAAAAAACCAGGAAGGAACTACAACCCACAAAAGGGCTCCACCCC